TCCTCCGTTGTCCTCTCGTCTTCCCCCTATCCCCCATGTTCCCGCCCCCGCCACCACGGTTATCACCGCCAGTGACGAGGGCATACGCCCCCACGCTCTCCGACGCCCTCTTCCTAGCGGCCTCCGTCTCCGCCCAGGCAGTCAGAATCACCTTCTCTACCAATTCCGTCTTGACCTCCGAATGCGCCAACAACACGCTCCTCTGCACATTAACATCGGGCAGAAGGTTGCGGACATAGTGGACGTTACCATCACGATCGGATTGCACCCAACCATACGCTTCTAGTTTCTGGCGAAGTACTGATGCTCTTGTGAGATAGCGCCGGGGCTCCTCCCCTACTTGCTGCTTCAACGAGTACCACTGCCCCTGCAACTCCAACTTGTCCGTTTCTGCGTGCGCTCGGTAAAAGTTGAGAAGTTGATCCCACGATTCAGGGGGACAACCACCAGCTAGGATTGCAGGGACTATTGTCGGGACTTGTATCTTGGATATAATTAGCTGCCAAGCCTTAACCGCCCGATCTACAGCTTCCGTCCCATGCTCCACCTTCAATGCCTAGATATTCGCATCCGTCTTCCCTACACGAATCGTGTTCTTCGATTCTATTGCCCAAAGGCAACGCTCCTGCTCCAACAAAGATCGAAATTGACTGGCGAAATCCATTACCGCCGTCTGTACATCGTCCTCGGGGCTGAACTTCCCGGTGAATGCAGGGATTGTGATACCTGCGCTAATAAGTATTGTTTCTTTAGAGGTTGGGACTTCCCTGTATTCATCCTCCGGTTTATCTTGACCTTCTGCAAGGCCCGCGCGAGGGTGTCGATGAGGCTGACGTCCGCCGGCGATCGGGGCTGGTCTTCGTGTTGCGTGCTTGACTCCGAGCCAGCCGGTCTCTCCAGCCGGGTGTCGCCTCCTTCGGAAGGCATGCCTTTNGATGAGGCTGACGTCCACCGGCGATCGGGGCTGGTCTTCGGGTCGCGGGCTTGACTCCGAGCCAGCCGGCCTCTCCAGCCGGGTCGCCTCCTTCGGAAGGCATGCCCTCGCTCTGTGTTGCGGGGCGCTCTGCTGCTGCTGCTGCTTCTTCTACTTTGATCTTGACCTGCTCCTTGATAAGAGCGTCGATTACATTTCGCTGCTCGTCCGAGAGCTGGAGCTCATCCAGCTGCTGCTCCATGATTTCCGTGTCACTGTTCTCTGGCCGAACCCTTTTGTAACTAGCCCCACCTCGGGATCCCGTTGATATCACCACGCTAGCGTGTTTGGATAACTCGAACTGGGGGTAGCTTGTCGCAAGACGTGTGTTGAATAGGGTATCGGCAACTCGGCGAGCTTGCGCCGAGGAGAAAAACTTGTCGTGATTAGTTGCATCCACATACACACACACAAGCCCCGTAGAGGGGGCGACGCCGTATTCAACAGGGGCAACAGGGGTACCTGGTACATCCCTGGAATCCATTCTACGTACCACCCGGTATTCCGCTCTACCTCATTCCATGGGAACATCCAGCACCAACCACTTGGCATTGCTACAAGTATATCTATCAGTCCTCACGGTCGAACACGTCATTTTGATGTCGTTGCTGAGGTTGTTGTGAGTTCTTATGGATATCTCGACGCGATCAGTCAGCGCCCGCCGTGCTGGGGGGACGCACCAGTATTTGCGTACCAGAATCTAGAAACATAGCGAAATGAATCCAGGCAGGTACAGGTAGGATGTGTGGAGTAAAGATGTTTGAAGCGAATTGTGGAGTACGTCAAGCATTGATTGCTATGACACACACCGCTGCCCTGCACCTTGTCTCACACGTAGCTAACCCCAACCAACCGCATTCCCACAGTTCGAATTCATTTTCGCAGTCTGGGGAAACGATTCGCCGTCGTTCGACAAGTTGAACTGTGGTGGCGACTGCTGGTTGCGGAGGCGAGAAGACTTCGCCTTCATGCGTTTGCAATTACTGCTGCGGCCGCAGCTGCTCAGGAAAGAGATCTAGAAAATGTTCACCACCGTGCTGCGGTGGCTGATGTTCCTGCTGCAGCTGCAGGCGGCGATGATTCAGCTGCATCATCTCTGGGAGTCGGTCTGCCGTGATCGATAATTCGGGTGGCTCAGTTGTGTGTGATGGGAGTGTAGAGCAGCTCGGCCATGACGGGCCGTAGGGGTAGGTAAAGTCGTACAGACGTGTGGAAAAACGTGTTGTAAACGTGTTGTATGCGTATTGTATACGTGTTGTATACGTGTAGTATTCATCGGGGGCGTGCTTGAGCTCGTCATTCCATCACGGCATCAAGTCACGCACAACGCTCAAACACCCAAAACGAATCTTCATGAATCTCCACCAATCTATCACACTCCCAAGGAAAACATAAAGAAACTTCTTGTTCCTCCGTAGTTCGTCACTGCAATACCCGCATGTGTATACGCAATATACCACCCGCATGATACGCTACGAGTATATCGAATAGTCCCCCTGCTCGTATGCATCGTTATGCTCCGGCAAAATATCAAAGTCATCCTTCTCATACCAATTCATCCCAAAACACAGTCAACCCCAAGCCAAAATTCAAGATCCCAACACCAAAACAATACGTCCGAAAATAATCAATCACGAAGNTGGCTGCGGTGGACGGCGGTGCACTCGACGACGCCGTGGATATCGGCGACGGAGCTCCGGACCCTGTGAAGATCGACGGAGAAGCTGGCGGCGGTGAAGCGGGCGGCTGCGTAGCGGTAGTCGCTGTGGGCGGGGTGTGGGTGTACGTCCGCGATGTCCATGGCGGTGGCGGTGCGGCAGCGGCTGTAGGAGCGGCGGCGGCCGGCGAGGGCGCCGCGGTGACCGAAGAACCCCCCCCGCTGGCCGGTACCGGCGCCGGCACGGCGGTGCGGCGGCTGATCCACACGACGTTGTTGGACAGGCAGATCCTTCCGATGTCGGCGCGGAGTACGACGGCAGTGGCGTCGGAGTGACTGCGCGCTCCGTGCAGGTAGAAGCAACGAACGGATTGGACGTCCGCCTTGCTGGCGCGCTTCACGCGCATCATCCCCTCCTGGAAAAAGGGGACGACCTTGAGCGGCGGTTTGCGTCCGAAGAAGGCCTCGAACGGCGACATCCAGGCCGGGTTGGCCGACGTCGCGGAACGGTTGAAGCAGCCGGAGGCCCAGATCGCCGATGCAAGCCACAGCCGGTGTCCGTTGGCGTCCATACCGGGGATGGAGGCGAGGTCGAAGTGGCCCATGGAGAGGACGTGGCGGCGGGCGGCGTGGCCCCCCTTCATGGCTCGCCAGATGGCGCTTTCCACGACCGCATTCTGCTTCGGGGTGTCGGGCGCGGTGTACTCGCGCCGGATGCCAGCGGCGTCGCAGAACGCGACGAAGGCAGCACTCGTGAACTCCCCCGCGTTGTCCATGCGGAAACACCCCAGAGGGCCGTTGCCGTTCAGGTCGGCGAGGAAACGCCGCGTGTACGTCAGGGTGTCGCTCTTGGCCCGCATGCCGTACGCCCGTTGCCACCGCGACGCACTGTCTACGAACATGATCAGGTAACGGGAACCATCGAACGCCTCAGAGTACGGGCCGGTGATGTCGATGTGCACCTTGCCGAACGGTACCGCCGCGCGGGTGACTCCACGCCGCGGCACCGGGGTCCTCCTGCCCTTCGCCTCGATGCAGCCGACGCATGGCTGCAGTTCCCCCACCAATTGAACACCCTGCTGCTTGGCGGTTTCCCGCATCAGAAATTCAGTCACGTGGCCGGTGGAAGCTTGGAACAAATAAATGTCGATGGTGGACGTGGGTTTTCCTACAGTGAACGCTGGACCACCGGGGGCGATAATCGCCAAAGCATGGGAAAGGGAGGGGGGACCTACATCTTGCTTCACACGGCACTCGGCAACGAAGTTTTTGAGCGCGTCCAACTCATCTTGCATCACAGCGAACGCAACGGGGGGCTTCACGGACTCACACACGCCTAATGGGTCGGGATAAAAGTCACCCGGTGGGACCGAGTCTTGTCCGTTCATCAAGCCTACATCCAAGAACATACTCATGTCCATCAAAGGCAAATTATCCTGGGACTCAAGGGGCATGATCTCTATCTCTCGCGACACATTCGGGTTCACGACTGAGGGGGACAGGACGTCGGACGAGGCGATGGCTGCGGCTAGGGCAGGTTGAAATCTCGGATCGACGTAGGCACTCCATCAACATCGATAAACGGGGAAACATCACTCTGAGGTACTACACCGGAAGTGGTGGACGGGATGCTCGAAGCCGAAGGTACAACACCGGCAGTACCGATGGACGGGAAGCTCGAAGTCGAAGGTACAACACCGGCAGTACCGATGGACGGAAAGCTCGAACTCGAAGGTACAACACCGGCGGACCGGTGGACGGGAAGCTCGAACTCGAAGGTACAACACCGGCGGGACCGGTGGACGGGAAGCTCGAATTGAGAAGGGGGAGGGGGGTTTTGGGCGAAAAGGCCAGTGCCAACGCCAGGCGGAGACGCTTGGCGGACAGCGGGGGGAGGGACAACGGTAGAGGGAATCACATCACCGTCGCGGTACTAGGGGGGCAAGCGGGTGGCCGATAGAGAGCATCCGATATCCGAATATGCGAAACGAAGCCGACCACCGAAAAGGTGCACACCCCTCCCATCCAACATTATCCAGTGCTTTTGCTTCGTTTGGTGCAGGGAGAACAAGTTGAACGAAATTCCTGGCACTACGTACACGTCTGTCAATTGGACACAAAAATCCACTTCTCCCGAGCGGCCTCCTGCCATATGGAATGCCAGATTGACACTACCGACACACTCCACGCGCAAATGAGCACCATTGCCTACTCTGATGTATTCTTTGCCGGGGGGAACAGGCGAGATGTTGTACATTTTGGAGCTGTTACTCACAAAATGGTTACTTGCACCGCTATCAGACCAAAATACCTCCCTACCAGGCCTGTACTTNTGCCATATGGAATGCCAGATTGACACTACCGACACACTCCACGCGCAAATGAGCACCATTGCCTACTCTGATGTATTCTTTGCCGGGGGGAACAGGCGAGATGTTGTACATTTTGGAGCTGTTACTCACAAAATGGTTGCTTGCACCGCTATCCGACCAAAATACCTCCCTACCAGGACTGTAATCGCAACTCTGGGCAGACAAAGCAAAACCAAGATCACCACATGCGACACTGCCTACATCACTCGAAACCGAAAGCGACCTCATCTCGTCAGCGGACACAAAGTGTGCCATCAGGGAGTGCAGCTGCCCAGGCGGATAAGCTGCAGCTCCGAGAGAAGGCGACTGGGGCGGGGCATGGGTGAAGTGTTGCTGCTGCTGCTGCTGCTGCTGCGGCTGAAACGACGGCGGTCGCGGAGGCTGCGGTGGTGGCTGCTGCTGCTGGTAGTACGACGTCGGAGGCGGGTAGTACGGCTGTTGCTGGTAATAGTCTGGCGAAGGCTGCTGCTGGTGCTGGTGCTGCTGCTGCTGTTGTCGCT